GGATGATATTTCTTTTGGTTGCCCAAAGGTATCCCTCCAGCCAAAAGTCAAAGGACTAATCTTCTATTCCAATGATCAGCACACTAAGTGGTAGGGGACTGGCCAAATGATTTGTTCCATTCACATGGGTGGGGACTGAACCCCAACCTCATACTTAAGGGATGAGGTGCTGAACCACCACGCCAATCATGTTGGTTGAATGGTGGATGAAACGAGAGAATGAGACTGGCTCTTTCATGACGCATTAAAAAAATTTAATATTCTGTTTTGACGAAAAAAAAAAAAAAAAAGTGGTAGAAATTGACGTGTTTTTTCCTACTATATAAAGAGAGAGATGTTAACTCTTTATATATTCTAAAAGTTTATATATATTTTTACTGGTTTTAATCTAAAAGTTTCAATTGTTAATATAAAAGTTTCAAAAAATTGATTTCATTTTTTTTCTTCAAATCTCGGTATATAAATAAAGAGTCAATCCAAAATTCATCATGTTAATTTGTACAAATTATATATAAGTACTAGGCTAATAATCAAAATTATTATTCTAAGTTTAAATGAAAAATTAATTTTCATCATTTTTGTTACGTTGATGATGAGTCAGACAACATATTGCATGTGTCGATCAACTTATTAGGCTCTGTTTGACAGCTTATTTAGGAGCTTATAGTTTATTTTAAGCTACTAATAAGCTATAAGCTCTGTTTGATAATGTTCTCAAAATAAGCTCCTAGCTTAAAATATAAGAGTTTATTTTGGAACGCTACTTTAGGTAGCATTTCAAAATAAGCTCCTACCTTCCTAACTCTTTTTCACCTTTATCCTTATTATTTTAAAGAAATGACATAATTTATTCCTTCCCAATTAAAATCATTTTCTCTCCTTTTTTTTTTTTAAAGAAATGACATAATTTATTCCTTCCCAATTAAAATCATTTTCTCTCTTTTTTTTTTTTAAAGAAATGACATAATTTATTCCTTCCCAATTAAAATCATTTTCTCTCCTTTTTTAAAACCCTTTTCTCTTCTCCTTTATCCGCAACTTTCACTGCAAATATTATTATTATTATTATTATTATTATTATTATTATTATTACTACGAGAATTGTAACAATATTGCTACTTCATTATGAGATACTAAATCATGATTATGATAATAGTTTTATTTCAAAATGTTAATTTTTTTAAAAGACAAAATGTTAAATTTTAATATGTAAACAAACTAATTTAAATTTTATGAAGATGTCCTTTTAGTCTTTCTACATTTATCAGCTTATCAAAAAGTTTTTTGAAAGTTACTGGCTCTATTACATTGTAGTATCTGTTCATATACTTTCTCAACCTACTAAAATACAAAGAACTCATAATCTTCCAAATGGAAGTCCAACCCGGGTACCATTAGGCCACATAGTCTTGGTAGCTTATCAAAAAGTTAATTTTACCAAATACTTTCAATCATAACAGCTCTTCAGTTTTCAGCTCCGAACTTATAACTTTTTTAGCTTTCAACTCTTAGCTTATAACTTTTCAGCTAGGTTTGCCAAACATTAGATGAAGAGTTGTTTGCCAAACATTAGATGAAGAGTTCGTGAGGTAATAGTGGCGCGGCGACTGTATTGACTCAGCTCGATCTCTCGTTGCCATTTGCCAAAGTTGAAAACAATGTTTCAACAAATTGTTTCTGTAGCCGCTTGACAACAATGCTCAACAAATCAATCAATCATTGTACGATGAATCATACAATTGTGTGTGTCATGATAATAAATTAGTATATTGTTTAATACATCTCTAATTAAATTAAAATAATACTTTAATTTTACCATAATGAATTTATTTGTGTGTATATATATATAAAATGAAACTAAATAACAGAGTCCATATAAATATATATATTACCAAATGTTGTAGTAAAATTAAAATGAATCTTTAGTGTTGCTATAATGAATCAATCGTATGTATAAAATGAAACTAAATAGCAGAGTTCATACCGATATGTATGTTGTCAAATGGATGTGTTTTGAAATTAAAATGATATTTTTGTGTTATTATAATGAATCTATTGTGTGTATAAAATTAAAATAGATAACAAAGACATAAAATGTAATCAACCGAGTTGACTTGTTGACTGGGGTGAGTGACGGACAGATGACGTGACATGTTGATGCTCCTGATGAAGAGGGTAATCTTGTTCCACTCATGTGTCAAATTCAACACTTGAAAGATTGGGATACACTGGGGACGTGGATGCCTGCTGTGCTGTGTTCGAGACCCACCATTGACAGCAAATTATATTGTGCATGGTGGTGCATAATGAAAAGAAATAGAATTTTCGCAAAAAATAACTCTGTTCTTCAGTTTCATTTCGATATAATTACAGTTTCATTCAATATTTATACACACAAATATGTGAAAATGTTATTTAATTTTATTTTATATACATTATAGTTTCATTAAACCACAACTACATGATCATTTCAATATAATTACAGCTTCATTGTACAATATACACTCAAATATGTGAAATGTTATTCAGTTTTATTTCATATATACTGTAGTTTCATTTCACCACAACTATAATATCATTTTGATATAACTGCAGTTTAATTTAATAATATAAAAATAATACGTGAGACTGTGTCGGTTTAGACACACTGTAGTGTCACTCCGTTATAACTGCAGAAACGACGCCGTTTTGACGCGCGGTGCATAATCGATTATGCGATTATGCACCACGGTACACGATATAATGACCGACCATTAACATGGTTCCTCTTTTTCTACTGATGTTATGATTGGGCCACCGTACTGGGCCATGCACCTCCATTTGCCGAGTCCACAAGTTTGGCCTGATCGGGCAATTTATATCCTGCACTAGGGCGCGCATTGCATTGTGCGTCTGATGCAAAACGACGTCGTTTTAATATTTTTTTTTTCGAAATTTCGCTGTCCTGTGTTGGCGGTTAATTATTATTATTATTTTTTAAATCTCATGTTAAAAAATGTACATAATTTTATATTAGAATACACATAATTGTATACATAAATGTACATAATTGTATAATAAAATACACATACTCTTTTTTAAAAGATAATACACATAATCTAACATAATGCATAATAAACATAAACTTTTAACATAATACACATCAACTCTTAACATAATACACAAATTTATGGATTCGGATGTACATAATTGTATAAAAAAATGTACATAATTGTATAAAAATGTACATAATAAACAAATATACATAATTGTATAAACAAATACACATAATTACGTTAACTCCCTACCGCGCCTTCTAAAATAACGTCATTTTGGAAGATACGGGACGCACAGTGCTATATGCGTTCTGGTGCAGGGTATAACGATCCGGCTGACCGTGAGCACGGGTTGGGCTTGTCCCACACATTCTGATTTTGTTCTCATTTGGGTTTGGCTACTATGATTTCCCCTCCAATTTCTCGCCTAAACCTTGTTAGATGGGCTATGGATTAAATGCAAATAAATAAGATTAATCCCTTGCTCTATCTTGTACGGGCGCGCGAGAGATTGGGAGTTATGTTGTGCAACCGTGTGCATTATGTATAGTGTACACGGTTGTAAAAATAATGTTGTTTTGATGTCCGACTTAAAAATAATAATTCATAATTACATAACTACACATCAATAACTTTATAATTATACATCCAGAATTGTATAATTACACATTCATAACTTCATAACTATAAATCCAGAATTGCATAACTACACATCCATAACTTCATAACTATACATCCGGAATTGCATAACTACACATCCATAACTTCATAACTATAAATTCAGAATTACATAACTACACATCCATAACTTCATAACTATACATTCAGAATTGCATAACTACGCATCCATAACTTCATAACTATAAATCCAGAATTGCATAACTACACATCCATAACTTCATAACTATACATTCGGAATTGCATGCATAACTACACATCCATAACTTCATAATTATACATTCAGAATTGCATAACTACACAATCCATAACTTCATAACTATACATTCAGAATGTGAAATTATAACTTCATAATTATACATTCAGAATTGCATGCATAATTAGACATCCATAACTTCATAACTATAAATCCAGAATTGCATAACTACACATCCATAATTTCTGGATAACATAACTACACATCCATAATTACACAACCATAACTTCATAACTATAAATTCAAAATGTGAAATTATAAAATTATGAACATATGTTTACGTATCTAACGACAATCGAAAATGATTTTTTTATTTATTTAAGTAAAACGACGATGTTTTTGCATCCGTGTGCACTATGCATGGTGCACACGGATGCACATCATAATTTACCGAGAGATTGGACCTCTACAGGATTAACCTCTTGCTTTGACTTTTGTGACTAGCTTTCTATACTTGTACTCTTAGGGGTATGCCCGGGTGACACATGTATTTGGATTTTTGTTTAATTTACATTTGAAGTATGACCCAGAATAGGTTAATAATACATTCCTCATATGCCACTTACAGTTCATAAGTAATTACTGTAAAACCTGATTGACAGATGAGCGTAATTGATTTAGGATCGATAGAATTCAGAAAACAGTTACAATACAATAGAGTCCTATAGGGATGACTAACATAATAGTCTCCTATAGAATAGCTAGGCTAAGTCAACTAAATTATAACCACTAGACTATTGATCATATAATATAACATTATTACTAACACACCCCAAACATTGAGCTTGTCTCGAAGAATCTGAAAGCGTGGGGCCGAAAGGGGCCGGGCTTCGTGAAAATGTCTACAAGCTGATCCTTTGTTGAGACGAAGTTGACGACGAAGTCCCTTGATGCGACCTTGTCCCAGACAAACTGATAATCGATCTCCACATGTTTCGTCCTCGCATGAAGACCGGGTTGGCTATTAAGTACGTGACTCCTAGATTGTCACACCACAACGTTGCTGGACCGCCAGGATGTAGACCGAGCTATCAGAGTAAGGAGATAACCCGAGTGACCTCAGCGGACACATTCGTCAGGCCCTTGTACTCAGCTTCAGTCGAGGAGCGGGCTACCGTGCGTTGTTTGCGGGAGATCCACGAGACCAGGTTTGTCCCAATGAAGACTGCATAACCACTGGTTGACTTTCTATCAATCAGGCAGCCTGCCAGTCTGAATCGGAGTAGGCATGAATATCGGATGTCGGGGAAGCTGTCAAACATAACCCGTAGCCCTGGGTGCCTTTGACATACCGCAAGGCTCCAGTGATCATCGGAGGGTGCATGCATGAACTGACACAAGCGATTCACAGCGTAAGAAAAGTCCGGGCGAGTGATAGTTAGATACTATAGCGCCCCTACAATCCGCCGATATTGCGTGGGATTATCGAATGGCTGAATAGACGGAGTAGCTGACTGTGTGACTGTAGTTGGAGTTGCAAGAAGCTTGCATTTAGACATACTAGCTCGTGATAAAATGTCGTCCATATAGCGACGCTGAGACAAGATCAGACTGCCATCGACCTTGAGAGTTTCAATTCCTAGAAAGAAACTCGGAGTACCCAGATCTCTAATCTTGAAGGTAGTGGAGAGACGCCGGAGTAACACGTCAAGTAGTGCTGGATCGTTGCCCATCATAATGATGTCATCAACATAGACCAACAAAACCACATGTGAGTTACCGGATGTGTAGTGCAAAAGAGAGACATCCGTCTTGGATGCTACGAAACCTGCAGTAAGTAGATACTCATGTAACCCTTGTTGCTTAGTGAGGTAAATCAGAAACTTTTAGGATAGTGTGTTACACACGCCTAAAAACAGTGATCAAGTGTTCCTTTGTTTGTATTGAGTGATCAACAATGATTACTGAAATGCTTTTGGAGTTGAAGAACATTGAAATAAGAAGTTGAGAGGAGAAATGCTGCGAAAGTGTTTCAATATAAGGAAAATAAGATGTGAATTCCAATGATATAGGGTTTTTGAGTTTTTCGTCAATTTGAGATCGAAACCTAATATTGATAATCAAACTCACCACTTTGCTCATAACTGATGAGTAAAAAATGAATATGATCATAACGGAGGGACTGAATTGATACTTGGATATGACTCAGGGCTAAAAATATAATTTTCTCTTTTATAACTTAAAATCTCGCTAAACACTTTGTGCTCAGATGACATGTAGTGACTTCTCCCATATGGGAGGTCATGAGATCGAGCTTCAATGGAGGCGTTGTTGACTTGTTGAGAAAGTATGTTTGAACATATACTACAATGTAATGGAGTCAGTAGGATGAGTTTAGGAACGAGTGTTTCATTCAATTCAAGTAACAAACTGATAAGGTTACAAGATATACTACTAGTAAATAGATCCTACACAGATGGCTAAGGACAAGGTCAATATAACAATTATTGACTTATACTAATAATATATAATATATGCTAATAAGTAGCATTCAAAAATAATAGGATGACATATGACAGATTATATGAAATTAAGAATTGCATATAGTACCTGCGGCAGTGAGAGAATTTCTAAGTGAGGGGGGTTTCCTTGTGCGCAGTGAGTAAAGGTCTAGCCTTTGTGGTTCATATTCAGTTGAGTTGGTGTAGAGGACCCTTAGGGTTGTGTTTCAACCTTTTGGAAGAAAGAATTACATATAGGATGGCAAAGGGAATGACAGAGTAGGGACTAGGGAGTAATAAATAGCACAACAATTTATATTGACCTAGGGTCCACCTTGACCTTGCATGCATGGTGGACCATAGTTACAAATGGTGTCATTATAAATCAAGTCATTAATAGTGTCAATAAATACATCGTATTTAATAACATTCATCTTATACTATATTTATAATATTTGTTTTATATACTTATAAATATAAATTTTAATGTACATAAATATTAAAGTGGAAGACCATCATATTATATTTCTATTCACTTTGTAGTATGTATGTTTCTTCAATTCCATCATAAAAAAAAAAAAAAAAAAAAAAAAAAAAATCCAAATCTTAACATACATAAAATTATATTACATGTGCATCATGTACTATATATATGTTCATAATATTTATTCTATATATTATCATAAATCTGAACCTTATAATATACATAAATATTAAACTTTGAGTATATCATATCCATTTCCATTTACTTTGTAGTATGTTTATCATGTTTATTTTATGTCCATAAAAACAAAGATTAATATATATAAAATTACATTAATGTAATGCTAGGCTTTTATGTACATTTATTTTTAAAGAATATATATATATATATATATATATATATATATATATATATATATATATATATATATATATATATATATATATAGGAGTGATCACATGTGGCCATGTTGTTAGGTGTGGTCATATGGTCAATTATAGACCATTAGATTAGATAGATCTAATGAATCATATTAATCAAGATTTTTTTCAGTATTTTCGCACACACTCTCCTAACCAGCGAACTGTAAGGGTAAACTTGTCATAAAACACCGGAATAGGGAAAATCACATTGTTGTGTGTTTTATTACACTATTGGTGCATGTTGTCAACACTGTTGGTGTATTCTGGAACCCAACCGCTATAAATGGCCACTGTAATTACCATAACACGGGAATACACCATTGGTGTGTTTCACTGTGGTGTGTTTTATTACACTATTGGTGTATGTTGTCAACACTGTTGGTGTATTCTGAAACCCGCCCGCTATAAATGGTCATTGTAATTACCATAACACCCCCCACTTACTAAAACGCGCGAAAATTCTCAGAATTACCACTGCCTTTAGATTAAACTGATTCAACAACACAAATACGACCACACGACCACACCTAATGACATGACCACATATGAGTGTTTTTCTATATATATATATATATATATATATATATATATATATATATATATATATATTGGTGTTATTTAAAATATCTCAATTAAATTATTTTGATGCTATAATTTTAGACGATATCAATTTTATTTGTACGGAATGAAAAAGAGAAAAATAAATTTAAATTACTGGGTAAAAGAAAATTTTAAGAAAAAAATAGGGATGCCTTGCAACATGAGTACATGACCCATGGTTCGATATAACTATTGAAATAAAACCGGCCATAATTCATTTCCACAGTTCTTCATATTGCGCGATGAACAATTCGAGATGCGGTAATGTACATTCATTTACAACTAAATGTTACAACTGCTGCTACGTATTACCCGGCGACCCCATACATAGGCGGCAACATGGTACCTGCACCTAAACGACCCCGGATGCGTTGTCGGAGAGCAAAGGCACCGTCTCAACGGCGCGCCGCCTCCGCCGCCGTGGCCGCCGGAATCTTCATCTCGCCGTCGAACACTCTCATCCGAAACATGTCTCGGTTGTAACCTCGTCGTTGCAGCGGCCAAGTCCCTGAGAGCTGCTAACTCATAACGTGGATGATAGCACATATTTTATGGTCCTTTTGGTTGAGAAGAATAATATGTAGAGAGAGAGAGAGAGAGAGAGAGAGAGAGAGAGAGAGAGAGATGGAGGGATGGGAATGGAAAGAAAGGAATAAGTTCTTGTGTTGTTTAGTAAGTGAAGGAAATAAAGCAAGGGAGACTAAGCAAAGGTGGGCATAAAGAAGGCTTTTTCTTAATTTATTTTTAGATTAAATACTATGATGAATTATACCAATCTCTTGCTCTAATTATACATCTTGTGATTATAAAGTATATCTTGTTTTCAAAAAAAAAAAAAAAAAAAGTATATCTTTAAAACATAAGATTTTGCGTTCTAAAGTATGGATTGGCACCGGTGCCAACTGTATTCGATGTCACCGTACCCTTACATGTGTTTTTTAGGTTGTACAGGATATTATCAACTCATGTTGTTCGATCAGTGAGATTACATATTGGCACTGTTTGGTAAAATGGCTGTTAGCTGTTAGTTGATTGGGTTAATTAGAGGTATAACTAGTTGATCACATTAGCTGATTGTAGAAATGTCACTACAAGAAAAATGCTCATAGACAACGGTTATTAACCGTTGTCGTAGGGGTATAATTTCTGTTGTTGAAGCCGGTGTTGTTGTAAGTCCCGCGCATAGACAACGGTTTTTTAACCGTTGTCTTTTCTAGAAACAACAACGGTTTTTTAACCGTTGTCTATTAAGTGTTGTTGAAGCCGGTGTTGTTGTAAGTCACGCACATAGACAACGATTAATAACCGTTGTCTTTTCTAGAAACGACAACGGTTTTTTAACCGTTGTCTATTAAGTGTTGTTGAAACCGGTGTTGTTAAAAGTCACGCACATAGACAACGGTTATTAACCGTTGTCTTTTCTATAAACAACAACGGTTTTTTAACCGTTGTCTATTAAGTGTTGTTGAAACCGGTGTTGTTAAAAGTCACACACATAGACAACGGTTATTAACCGTTGTCTTTTCTACCAACGACAACGGTTTTTTAACCGTTGTCTATTAAGTGTTGTTGAAACCGGTGTTGTTAAAAGTCACGCACATAGACAACGGTTATTAATCGTTGTCTTTTCTACCAACAACAACGATTTTTTAACCGTTGTCTATTAAGTGTTGTTGAAACCGGTGTTGTTAAATGTCACGCACATAGACAACGGTTATTAACCGTTGTCTTTTCTACCAACGACAACGGTTTTTTAACCGTTGTCTATTAAGCGTTGTTGAAACCAGTGTTGTTAAAAGTCACGTACATAGACAACGGTTTTTAACTGTTGTCTTTTCTTTAAAAGACAACAGTTATAAACTATTGTCTATTGTGTGTTGTTGAAATCGCTTTTGTCACACCCATAAAATGTTGTCTTTTGTATAAAAGTCAACGGTTTCTAATTGTTGTTTATTGTAAAATAGACAACGGTTTTTAACCGTTTTTCACCTGCTTAAATTATAATCGTATAAAAAAAATTATCCATTCACCATATGTTGCAAAGTGTAGTTACATAATTGTGCACAAGCTAATAAGGTTCAAAATAACAAGTCAAAAGACTTCCATGGCCAATTCTAATTATCATCCAAGTCATAATACTACTACACAAAAAACAATTCCACGAACCAATTCAAGTCCAAATGATCACAACGCTCTAATGACCAAATCATACCTACTCTATATGACTTGATAGAATATCGGCCCATTCAGATCGCACCAGATCAATAACCGCTTTGTCATAATCAACTTGTTGGAACTACATGTATAAAGTGAGTAAATAAATTAGTATACATATAATAAATTTGCAATGAAATTCGAAATAAGTTAGGAATAATTTGCAAGAACCACTAACCTTGAACTATGAAGTTTCTTTAGTTCATTCTCCATGAAACTTTCTAATTTTGAAAACTTCTAGAAACTCAATAACTTAAGTACAAAATTTTCAAAGAAATGCTGCCTATGAACTATGAAGTTACTTCAATAGGTAGAGGAAAATATGTTGAACTTGTATTGTAAGAAATGACCCTGTTACTCTGTTAGTGAATCAGCTGGAGCAAAGTATAACCAATGATAAAAGGATTACAAAAAATCCATTATTTATGAAAGAAAGGTTTTGAAGGCATAAGGTTCACCAATAGCTCTATAATTCCAAGAGTTATAAGAGTAGTACTGTCAGTACTCAAACAATGTGTTAAACACATAACCTGTGAATTTGAACTCAAACTAGTTGGCAGACCAAAATTATATTTGTCAATGGGTTACCTATTCAGTGTAGCAGAAACAGTTTCTTGCACAGCAGCCCTCCAGTTGTATCCCTTATTTGATGTAAGATATATAGCACCTTCATCAGTTACCATTTCTGCACTGTTTTCACCTGTAGCTTGTATATATACCTGCAAATAAAAGATAAATGATTTCTTTGAGATGAATGGAATTCAGAAAAAGATAATAGAACTCACAAAAGTAAAGAGTCCATTCATTGTCTTTACTTCTTAGCTTCCCAGGTTAAGTTTCCAGAAATTTCAATGGACAAATCTTAAGGTGCTACTTTCAAGAAACCAAAGATATAATAATAACAACAGCAACCAGCAATAGTGATAACAATACAAATTCAGGAAATTCTCAGTTTTCAGTTAGTGCAAATCAAGCAATGATGTGATCATTGTATGTCATAGTGTGTAAAGATCTCATAAGATAACAAATTATGGACTTCACATCTATTCTAACTCTCTATCTCAATAATCTTTCAACTTGTGTTTTAGATCATTCACAAAGGTAAGTTTATTGAGAGTTGCAAGAACAATGTGGTTCTTAGACTTGTCAATAGTTGCAACACTGAAACTGGTTTTCTGACCAAATAACATCCCCATAAACAGACATCTCAATTTTTTCAAGTTCTTTCTCATTGAAATCAGTCACAAGAATAGCCTTTCAATTGCATAGCTTCAACCTCAACCTTATTTGCAGAACTTGACAATTTCCTGCCATACACTCACCAACTTTTGAGAAGGGAAGGATGTGATTGTATGCAATGGAGTAAAAGTACAGCCTACTACTTTCATATAAATTTTAGCAGGGTGTTATAGATATGAGAGATCTCCACACTGAACAACTGAATTGATGTACACAGAAGTTGGAGGTTATATGTAAACATGTATATCAGACCAGACATAAATTTAAGGAAGACGATGAAAAATATTTCTTCAAATCAAAGCAATTCACATGCTTAGAGCTATGTGTCTTTTGTAGTAAGAGTTACAAACAGCTACCTACCAAGATTTTGCAGTACAACAATGATGAAGCAGACAACTGCTCAAACATGGAAGGAGTTGTGGAAGAATTGTATACCAAACTAAGTTGGAAAAAAGGAAGAAAATACCAAAAAAGTTAGGACAGATTAGTCATTCAAAGAATAAGAAAATACCAAAAAAGTTAGTATAGATGACCTGAACAAACTGTAATTGAATCAGCAAAACTCTTCCAAAAAGTACTGATCAGAATACATTTTCATAACTAAATTGATACCATATCAACAGTACAGAGCTACCATAAGCTGGCATATAAGTAATTGGGTATCACCTGCTATACGAATAAGGAGATCGAATTCTTTCTCTCCGGCTTCGGCGGCTAGACCTGTGCCCCACCGGTGAAAGCGACGGCGAATACCTCCTTTACGCCGGCAACCTCGATATATCCCTATCTCTGTCCCTTCCCATCTCTACTCCCTTCTCCTCAATCAATCACTCTATATAAACACACAAACAAAATCCAAAGATGCAATTTTCTTCTGCAATCATAAAAAAATTACTTCAAAAAACAATTAGCAACAACAACTATGTGAGAATTTGAGAAATAAAAACATTTAAATAGAAAATTACCTGACACAATAAGGACTATATTTAAAATTGCAAATATATATATATATATATATATATATATATATATATATATATATATATATATATATATATATATATATATATATATATATATATATATATATATATATATTATTTGGCCAGCTAAAAATTGGGAAGACTGGCAGGAACTCACAGAAGTTCCCAACATAAAAGCTACCTTAACCCCTAAAGAATTGCAAATTTTGAATTTAGTGTGCGCAACTTCATGAGAGAGATAGTACAAGTCATATGCTATAAGTCTATAATGTTATTTTTGGACACTCTTGTCTTGAAGAACAGAAATAGCAGTATTTATCCATTTAATTAGCTTGAAAGAACTAAACGGTCTGCTTTATGGTATGCTAACTAACAGTATGCTTCATCAAACATAGTTTGAGCCATGCTTTACGTTATGTTAACTAACAGTCTGCTTTGATTAGCTTGCGTAAATGAAAGAATCGAAGGATTACTTCTATATTTTGAAAAGAACTCATCGAATTATAACAGTCTCTGCAAGTCCAATTTCAGAGTCTTCTAGAAGGAGAGGGGCTAGGAATTACCTGATGGAGGATGGGAAAGTCGGGGCGGGTGATGTGTCCGAGAGAACCGGGTCCGAGTTCCTGTTCGTCCACCACCGTAGGAGGAGAAGCGGCGACTCTGTCGACGGTGTAAAAGCGGAACCGTATAGGGCACTCTGTGGACTGGAGAAAGTAGGGTTAAGACGCAGTTCTGAGGGAAAGAATTGGGAAGACGGTCGAATTGAATTGCAAAGTTAAAATTTCGCGCTAAGTTAAAATTTGCAAAGAGGGAAAGAATTGAACCAATTATATTGAGTTAATACCCAAAATCGTCCACGACTATAGTGGTTTTTCTCAATTTCGTCCTAAACGACTTTGGTGACTTAATATCGTCCCATACTTTTGTGTTTCACTCAATTTAGTCATCCATTTGTTATTCCGTCAAATTGGTGTTAAATAAAGGAACAATTCAGTAATGTCAATATTGATCTCTCTTTACTTTCAACTTGTGAAATGCGAAATTTCTCGTCTTGTACGAATTACACCCAGAATTACTCCCAGAAATAATAATAAGATTATAAGTGGTGCGCACTCGTAATGGACACCCACACCCAGTGGGGGTGGGGGTGGGTTTTGAAAAAGTCCACCCGATGCAGGTAAGAAAATATTAGCTTTATTACCCGGGTCGCTAGACCCAAAATAGTACCGGGTATATAGGTACAGAACGCGAGATTCATTGATTTTTATACTGTAGATTCATAAATTCTAGACTGTAGATTTATAAAATCTTTACTCTAGATTCATAATTTCTAAATCCTAGATTCATAATTTAAATACAGTAGATTCATAATTTCTATACAGTAGATTCATAATTTGAACATAGAGTTCTGTAATTGTGAATATAGAGTTCAAACATACCGCCCTTAACCCCTCCACACCATACCACACCATTCTGAACACCACACCGCACCGCACATGGCCGTTCTAGGGCATGCAATTTAATGAATTGAAAGTAAAACTTTAATGAATTGACATTGAAATTTTGGTGAATAATTTTATATTTAAATATGAACGAAAATAGGACTATTAAATTAACTTTTGAATTGTATTATTTCTTTGTTAATTTTTATGCATTATATTTGGACAAAAAATTTTAATTACATTTTTATTTTTGTTCTAGATCTTCTAAACATATATTTTCATCTCGTAACAAAAACAATGAAGGTCCAAATTATAGGTAAAACATAAGGTGTAACACTTTAGTAAACAAGAGTTGGTGTGACTTAGTGGGTTTAGCTTTGTTTATTATGTTAGAGGTCATGGGTTCTATCTTTCTTAGTGGCAACTTTAACTTATATTTTATACAATTATTGTCTTGGTTCTCACAGACAACACATAACCAAACTCGTTATATCTTAGATGTTGTGCTTAAGTACATAAATGTTGATGTAGCTTAGTGGGTTTAGCTTACTTTGTTATGTTAGATTATGTTAAAAGTCTTGAGTTCTATTCTTCCTAGAGGCATCTTTAACCTATTTTATAAAATTGTTGTCTTGGTTTTCACAGATAACACAGAAGCAACACAGTTATATACCAGATGTTGCACTTTGGTACAAAAGAGTTTGTGTTGCTTTGTTGGTTAAACCTTAATTGCTGTGTTTGAGGTCATAGGTTCAATTCTTGTTGTTAACATCCTTGTTTATATTTTATATAACTGTTGTCTTTTATAAAATAATGATGCGCAAAGACAACGGTTAAAAAAACCGTTGTCTTTGTAGTGTTGTGTATTCAAATACGCTTAAAGACAACATACCAAAGACAACGGTTAAAGAAAATCATTGTCTTAAACAAATAAAGAACGCGCAACGACAACGGTTATATAAAACTGTTGTCGTTGTAGTGTTGTGTATTCAAGTGCTATTAAAGACAACACATAAATGACAATGGTTAAATAAAACTGTTGTCTTTTATAAAATAATAATGCGCAAAGACAACGGTTTTAAAAAACCGTTGTCTTTGTAGCGTTGTGTATTCTAGTGCGCTTAAAGACAACACACCAACGACAACGGTTAAATAAAACCGTTGTCTTTATTAAAAAAAAAAACGCACAAAGACAACGGTTTTAAACAACCGTTGTCTTTCTAGTGTTGTGTATTCTAGTGCGCTTAAAGACAACACACCAACGACAACGGTTAAAAAAACCGTTGTCTTTTAATTAAAAAAAACGCACATAGACAACGGTTTTAAAAAACCGTTGTCGTTGTGGTGTTGTCTTTTCACAAAATGCACAAAGACAACACACTTATAACAACGGTTAAGTAAAAACCGTTGTCTTTGACAAAAGTGTTGCATCAAAGACAACGGTTTTGGACCAAACTGTTGTCTTTTATACAAAAGACAACACTTTTCTTAAAAACTGTTGTCTTTCTAGTGTTGTCTATGTGCATTTTTCTTGTAGTGTGTGTATGGTAAATTAGCTGTTAACTGATAACTTTTTGGTATAATTTCTTTTCTCAAAAAGCTAATTGAAAAAGTTGCTTTGAGCAGTTTTTTGAATTTTAGCATTTTGGAGTTACAAAAAGCTAATTAACCAAACACTTCTATTGATTTTTTTTAACCAAATCAAACAATTAATAATTGTCAAAAAGCCAAAATTGACCTATAAGCTAATTAGTTTACCAAACAGAGCCATTATCATCTCATGATTGTATTTGGTACAAAAAATATCAGTATTAATCTCACACAAGACACTTTTGTAACAATGTATATATTCATCCAACGCTAAAACACGTCATGTCTAACGCTATCATTAAACCCAACAACATAACAATATTCGCCAAGAAAAATACTATTTTTCGCTAAAATCTCCTCATATAGTACTTACTATCTTAAAAAGGAAAACTCATTAATTTTATAGATTATCTATGAATTAACTAAATTCGTCATGATATTAATAAAAATTTCATATAATAGTAATTCAATGCCATAATGACATGCATGTCAAAAGATAATATTATAAAAAGTGATTTATGTATAAAATACAGGATTATTTATTGTAAAATTCAGAAATTTTTTATTATTATTATTATTATTTTTTTTTGCAAACAAACGAAACAGTATATTAATTTAAAACATCACAAGACAATACATTAGGGAAAAAAAAAAAAAAAAAAAAAAAACTAGGCAGAGTGACATGCTACTCCCCACAGCCTAATATAGAAAGAGCTTTCTTAATTAACAGATGAGCTACTTTGATTAATTCACATACCGTTTACACTAATAAAGAACCTGAAACTAAGAAAACTAGATTCAAGTTCTTTTATATTGTCAATTGAAACCTTTCATTAGATGAGGAATCCAAATGATAACTAAAAAAAAAAAAAGTTGGGTGGTATAAAGAGAACTTTTAAATGAGAATAATTTCCAAAAGGGATTGCTTTTGAGTTGATGCCTCGTAAGCCTTGCGGCTCTATATTGAGAAAGTTGAGTCATTTACGCGTCACTTGGCCCAACATTATTTGCCTAATAACCAAAAAATATGTCGACAAGTGTACTATGATCTGATTGTACTTTGGTAGGGAAGGAACCTAGACACATGCCATATCGTATGTGATTAATTAGTTAATTTCCTTTTTCAATTAAGAACATGTCTTGTTTTTTCTTGGGCATAATTAGGCCAGAATATTTGGTGTACATTATGCGATAAAATTGGTTACAAAAATATGAAAAATAATGCTATTCACCATTGCATTTATTGCTACATTTTCACCACTTCCTAACGTGGCATTGGTTCAAATAAATTTTATTTTTTTTTTGAACTAGTTTGACTACACATGAATATGGGTGTTCAATCGGTTAGCCGTTTGGTTAACTGAACCGAATTAATCGAAGTTTTTTTTTTCTTTAACCGTTAACCGAACCAAAATTTGTTCTACTAAATTAACCGAACTGAACTTTTTTCGGTTAATCGGTCGGTTAACCAATTAACCGAAATTTTTAATCCTAAAAATAACTCCTAAAATAATAAATCTAATTAAAATAAAATATATAGCGTAATAAATTCATATCAAAATATACAAAAATAATACCGTAACAACATTATAAACATAAAAACACTATAAAAAATTAGGGATTTGATGTTTTGAGCAGATAGGGTTAGCCAGATTAGTATTTATATTTAATTATAATTATAATTATAATTATATATATATATATATATATATATATATATATATATATATATATATATATATATATATATATATATATATATATTAAAAACATCGGTTTACCGACCTTTCGAACTGAATTAACCGTTAACCGAAGTTTTAAAATTCATTTAACCATTAACCGAACCGAAAAGTTCGATCCGAAAATAGTTAATCGGACTTTGTCGGTTCAGTCGGTTAACCGAAAATTATCCGAAATTTGCACACCCCTACACATGAATTAACTTTCCTCACAATAAGTTAATAAGGAATATATGTATCAAATAATGAACGCTAGATTAATAGAGAGTGGTTTATATCCCTCGAGCCACCTCCTAGTCTCTCGGAGCGAACGGGGATTAGTCGAGTGGACTTGGACCGTTAAACGGACAGAGAAAGACTCGGACCACCTCATGGTTTACAAAAAAAATAAAAAAAATAAAAAAATAAATAAAAAAAAAAGAAGTGGTTTATATAGGCTAGCATTACTCTTAAAATATTAATGCATGTTCAAACTATTAAAATGTAGCTACCTTAAAATTTATGAGGGAGTACATTGCTTTGTCACTCTTAAGATCCTACAAGGACACGAACATGATTAGTCTTGGTATGTGGGGTCCTAGTGTCTCTTGGTTGAGAAAACATGTTGTTAGAAAAAAAAAAAAAGAAAAGAAAAGGAAATGGTCAAACAAGCTAAGGCCCATGCACTTTTAAGAGTTGCAAATAAACACATCAATATGTCATTTTCGTGTATCGAATCTAAAAAACTATTTTTTTTTTTGTTTGTTTTTTTTTTATTTATTAAAAAAACTGACTATTGACTTGTAATATTTGGTCATTAGGGTTCTAACAAGGAAAACTGACTATCGGCGATCGAGAAACGATTGTTGGTCACCTTCTCTCCCGAATGAAGGAAGTGACCGATGGTCACCTTCATCGTTAGTAAAAGGAAATCGCCTTATATATATGGTCCAACTCCCATGAGAATCATGCCCCAATTGAGAACTTGGTGACGAATTCAAATCCTTGGGATCTAGTAGATTTAACCGTTGAAAATAAAGAAAACATGAAAAAAAAAAAAAAAAAAAAAAAAAAAAAAAAAAAAAAACAATGAGTTCATTTTCATAAATATTTATGAAAATGACCACACTTATTTTTTACTTCATTTTCTATTCATTAAAACTTACAGATCGATGGTTTGGACTTGTCTACATGTTCTCATATATATATATATATGTATATGTATATATATATATATATATATATATATATATATATATATACACACACACTAATATTCTAGTGAGAGGACATCATCCTGTGAGACAATGAGACACAACAATTTATTATACGAATACACGCAAATTAAATTGTGTGTGTATTCATATTGAGCAAATTACACACACTCTAGCCATATATAGAAGAAAACAAATAAGAAAACCCCATTTCTGCGTTGAACACGAGTCACACGACTATTCTCTCAGTCAACCAGCCGCCATCACGGTCAAGAAAGGAAAGTTCTATATATATTTAAACAATAATAATAGAAGTAATTTATTCAACTTTCCCAGAAAATGCACATGGAAAATGCATCATTATTATTACTTTATTCCACCATCGGATTCGTATATATACCTTGTTATCTCCAACCTTGTTCTCTGCAAACCTTTCAACACCATCCCTTCAACGTTAAACCCTCTTAATTTCTTGAATTTTCATATCTTTTATTTCCTCCATTAACTTTTGGAAATGAACTCCATGAGGATAATGGCTATCAACCTCCCAATTATTGGTTGTTTGTTACTTGCACTTGTTCAGTTTGGCTTTGGTCAGGCCATTCCTCCTTCTCCTGCCGCCCCTGCTCCTTCCAATGACGGTAACTCTTCATTGTTTTATTTTTATTATTATTATTTTTAAAATTTTACATACAAGAGAATGAATATCGATTTTGAAACTTTATTGCTGAAAATATAAGATTTTTAACTATTAGAACCTGATTGAAAATCTAAGATTTCTAGTCGAAAATGGTCTTTCTACCAACTTTTTAACCATTTTAGATTTAAAAAAAAACATTCAAATATCAATCATTCATCGAAACTGTTTAGTACAACTGACCACTAGTAAAGGTGATCTGAAATCTTGATTTGTTTGGTCATTGTGTGTATTTAACTTTTGCAGCAAAATAAATAAATAAATAAATTTGTAGTTATTATGCATTTGAAACTAATTTGAAAAACAAAAAAAAAAAAAAAAATGTATTGCAGGTGTAGCGATTGATCAAGGGATTGCATATGCTCTTCTGCTTGTTGCGCTCGTCATTACATATTTAGTCCATTAATTAGTAATTGTAGCATATTTTATTTGGCTATGGTTACGTTGTAATATAAATAGATAATCAATTCATTATTGTCTTATTCTTTAATTATTAATCATATTTTTTGTTTATTTATTTATTTATTTTATTGTATGATCAATATGGAGAAATTTTCCAAATTTGCATGCTTGATTACCTTATAATAACAGTAGGGATTTACCCAATTCACACCATCAAATAGTAAAAACTGCGAGTTTTCATCCAAAGAAAAACTGTAAAAAAGTTTTATTACATATAACAGTACACCTCAAGCAAATAAATTATTTAAGATGCCATCTCAACATTGATCATTAGAATTACACTAAAAAAATTAATGTAATAGATGAACAAAAGAAAATTACATAAAATATGATACTATGGTAGAATTAGGAAGGCTCGAGGATTAAGCCACTATCACTATGCAAAAAACTAGAGTGCGAAACAACTGAAGAAGGATATAAATCAGTGTCCGAAATTACCATAAGCTCACTGAATGCACATAGTACAAAGTTTCGCATTAATTAATGTAATTATAATTAAATAGGAGGTTAGAAATTAAGAAATTTATATTATGGATCATGGTCTATGTAATATTATGGATTTTGAATTGAAATGATGAGGTACATAATTTATATTCGTAAAGTATAGAATTCATAACACAAGAAACAAAAAATCACAACATAAGACACATACATCTGATACACGTACATGTTGTATATTTACTTATTTTTTAAATCCGATTTAGGTACATAATTTATATTCATAGGCACATAATTTCACAACACAAGACACAAAAATTCATAACATAAGACACAATTTATAATTTGTTTCAGGTACATAATTCATAATCTTAAAGATACAAAGTTTCATAACACAAGATATAAAAACTCATAATATAAGACACATACACATGCATCAGGGTCCACAGTATTTAAGATTTATAGATGTTCTTTAGGTAATTAGGTTAATATTTAATATTTTAGGATTAAGTATTAATGTATTAACTATTAAAGTATTAAATAATAAATACTTTATAATTATCAACACTTTCAAAAATTAAAAATAAATAATAATAATAATTTTTTTAGAAAAAATCGAGCGCCTAGTGATTTTTTCAACATTGATTTACACTGACAAAATGCAGGAATATTCAGAGAAAAATAATATGGAGTGATAATATTATAATAATAAAGGGTAAAGTAGAAAAAATTGTAAAAAAAAAAAAAAACTAAAAAAAAAATAATATGAACTTTTTATTTTAATAAACAATTACACTAACATTTTTTTGTTATGTTAGAGACCTAACTTTATTGGCTTTTATTATATTTAGTAGATCTTTTAAAAAAGGGGCGATTTATAATTAAAATCACTTCAATGGTTTACACAATCGTTATATCATGCACCAGGGTGCACAATGCATTGTGCGCCCTAAAAAAATACTCTGTTTCGTATGTACAGAATTGTATAGTAGAATATACATACATAAACTCCTAACATAATACACATAATCTAACATAATACATGATACACATAAACTCTTAACATAATAGACATAAACTCTTAACATAATACATATGAACTCTTAACATAATATACATAAATACAAAAAATAAAATATAAAATTATAATGGGATTGGATGGACGGAACGATGTCCGTCGTATAAACTCCCCCAACTTATAGAAACGACGTCGTTTTGGGTCAAAACGGTTTTGGACTCATCCATATTGGGCTGTTGATGGTTATTATATTTGACAAGTTGGTGTACTAAAGAAATGATGAAGCCCAAGTTCATTTCCATCCCGTTAGTTAAGTTACCAATAGTTATGTTCTGGAAACGTGTTCACCATGCGCATGGTGAACACATGGCTAGATCCATAATTTTTATATTGGAGATTCGAAATTTTTTATTTATTTTTTTGAAAACGTAAATTCATAATTTTGTTTTTCATTTGTTGTTAACGGTGTAGATTCATAATTTCTAAGTTGTAGATTCATAATTTCTGTACTATAGATTCATAATTTCTATATTATATATTCATAATTTCTATACTATATATTCATAATTTCTATACTGTAGATTCATAATTTATATACTGTAGATTCATAATAGCTGTAACAACAAATGAAAAACAAAATTATGAATCTATGTTTTTAAAAAAAAAAAAATTATAAATCTACAGTATAGAAATTATGAATCTATCCCTGTGTCCACCATTCGCATGGTGAACATGTTTTCAGAGCATAATTTGCATTAAGTTACTAAGTTGTCCAAGTCCTCTAAGACATTTGTTAAACCCCTTTTATTTGACAAGGAAAATCCAACAACAAATTTCCTAGATAGCAAGGAACTTAATTACCTAGAGATTTTCTAGATTTTTCAGACTTTTATCTTCATTTTCAGAGGCTTTTTGAGATTATGTTTCTTACCTTATAAATAGAAACCTCTATCATTATAGTGAAATTTAAATATTTTTTTAAAAAAATTCTCCCTCCCTATGTTCTTATCTCTCTATTATTGTCTTTGTCTTTGATTTTTACTATATTATATTTTGATTGCATCTCGTAACAAAAACAAGGGAAAATTGTAAAAAATGCCCCTCTATAATATGTCAATTATCAATGTCACCCCTGAATTATGAGTGGTGTAAATGTTGTCCCTCAATTATCAAAATGGTGCACATATAGCCCCTCCCGTAACGGACATGTGGTTCCTCGTTAGTGTACGGCACCGTTAAGTCGGAGTAAATATGTAATTTAGTTGTTTTTTCCCTCCCTCGATTGAAAATACCAGCGATGGACAACGGTGGGAAACCACATGTCCGTTACGGAAGGGGCTATATGTGCACCATTTTGATAATTGAGGGGCAACATTTACACCACACATAATTCAGGGGTGACATTGATAATTGGTATATTATAGAGGGACATTTTTTACAATTTTCTCCAAAAACAATGAAGGTCCAAATTAAACTATTAGACAAAATTTCACAACACAAAACACACAAATTCATAACATAAGACACAATCATTAATTTATTTTAAGTACATAATTTATACAATTAAAATACAGAATTTTATAACACAAGACACAAATACATTCAACATAAAACATATACGCATGCACTAAGATTCACAGTGCACTAAACCCTCACTTATACTATAAAGATTGCATTTTTCAGTTTGGCCTCGTGTCTCATATTGTCATGTGTTACACGATTAAAGGTGACGCCAATGCCTTGTGACGACATAACATTATCCTAAATTCAATACACCCACTAAATAAACACCCCAATTACAGACCCTCAAACATTTCAGTTAATACTATTGGTAGCTGTAAAATTCTTTAGTTTCATCATTATCTTGACTTGTTAGTTGACAAGAAGCTAGCTAGCCACTTGCAAAATAGAAAATGATGAGCTAAGTTTGTTTCAAGAGAGTAAAATTCCATTCATTTGTTTGAATTTATTTGGAAACAAAAAAAAAAAAAAAAACAAAAACAAAAACAAAAAAAGAAGGAAAGCCGCCACCATTATGGCACTAATGGATGGTGCACATTGGGTAAAGCTCATTCAGGTGTAATAACCTGCAAATCATATAAGAAAGATAAATCGTATTAAAATGTAGAGTCATTAATGTGCAATCCAACTATTAGCTTAGGCTTTTAGTTGAGATGGAGCACATGCTTCAATTAGGTATCAGAGTCATGCCAAAGGTCATATCTCAGGGCCACCCATAAGCGACTACGATCCACGTGTTGCTTGGAACCCACCGCACACGTGAGGGGACGTGTTGAGCCATTAATGTGCAATCCAACTAAGGCTTTTAGATGAGATGGAGCATATGCTTCAATTTAAAAAGACCATATGCAGCAATGGGTTCGAACGAGAGGGTATAGGCAATAATATAATAATCAAACTCATGCCCTTTCAAGTATGAGAATCATGTTACACCCACTCGATCTTCCCTTCTAGGGGAAAACCTACTTTTTTTAATGAAACAATAAGAGCATCTCGGTCACAAGTTAAATTCTTGTTAACACCCTCTTGGTCGAGCACATCACACATGGTCTTCCTATACTAGTGTATAGTAGTTTAGCTCTCTTGTATGATTTGTGAGGTATTATATAGGAGTAGAATTTACCCAATGCATACCATTGATTATTGACTGTGAGTTTTTTTCCGTACCCAAATGAAATAATATGTCATGTTAATGGAGAATGTAAAGTGAAAGTACATATACATAGTATCACTATACATAATTGACAATCAAGTGTGATTTTCACCTCCTAAATTTACATCACAATATCTTAACGTTACAATAAAATAATTTATATTCATTTTGAGTTGATCAATTACATTAGATTTCATAAAATAATGAAGTTAGTAATCAAATATAAACAGAACAAATTCATAATATCAAATAAAAATGTCGTAAACTCAAGAATTGGCAAATTTAAGAGGATAATGTAGCACAATTGTAACTCTAAATTATATTACTTACAATTGGACGCATAAAGCCATAAACAAACATTAAACTAACTATTTCCCCAACCTTGCCACAATGGGGTATTCATGAATTGGCCGTACATGTTTTTCAATATTGGAAAGAAATTACACAATGGAAGACACATAGATTCCCATTTTATTGAACATGATGGAAGAGGTTATTGGTTCAATTTTTATGGTCTTCTTTCCAACTTGTCCAATATGATAGACTTGAACATTCAACCAATTAGGATAAAAAGTTCAAAATAAATCTTCTTTCAAAAGGTTGAATCCCCATGGGTTCATTACACCTCGGCCCAAAAAAGCATTTTGGAGCAAATTATGTTGTGCAACCGTGTGCACCATGCATGGTGCACACTATTCTATGTTCATAATTACTGAACTATATATTCATAATTATAAAGTTATATATTCATAATTATTGAACTCTATATTCACAATTGTTGAACTCTGTATTCACAAATCACAGAATTATATGTTCATAATTTGATAACTATACAGTTTAGAAATTATGAATCTACAGTACAGAAATTATGAATCTACAGTACAGATATTATGAATCTGCAGTATAGAAATTATGAATCTATTGTATTT